AAAGCCAAGAGGATGGGCGAGGGTTAGCCTACGGTAGGGATGTGAGGGGGTGGGTGGGAATGCCATGTGGACTGTGAAACTGGACCTGGATGAACTCTGGATGGGTAGGTCTAGATCGAGACCTTCGTTTTTGTTCAATTTTCTTTTCTTCCCCTGATCAGAAAATTCAAGCTCTCGCCTTTACTTTATGTAGATCTAGGCCTAGATGTGAGAGGCTATGTCAGAAAATCCCAGCTCCCACCTTTACTTTATGTAGATCTAGGCCTAGATGTGAGAGGCTATGTCAGAAAATCCCAGCTCCCGCCTTTACTTTATGTAGATCTAGGCCTAGATGTGAGAGGGTATGTCTATGTTTCCACACGAAAAGTGCTCCGGGAAAAAAAAGTAAAAATGCAGAAATGACGGTCTGAACACAGCTCAAACACACGCACACTGATGCTGTTTGAGATTTTCGCAATTATGCAAGTTACCAAAATGTCATTCACGACATGTTTGGCGATTTTTAGAAAAAAAATTTCATGTTTAGGTCTATGTACAGAAGAATTGAAAACACAACCTATCAGTATCAGTAGTTTTTTGTGTATTTGGGAAGATACACATCAGTCTGAAACCCCCCCCAGAAATTATGTTTCTTTCACTTTCACCTGTATAGAGGGAAAAAATGTTTTTAAAAAAAGACATCTGGACGTCTGATGCTGGCACATCAGTAAAACCAGGGACACCTGGCAAACATGAAAAATATCAGGCTTGACTGAGAACAACTTTTGATGGATTGAAAAATGGAACTTGCTCCAGGAACGCAATCCCTAATAAGGGACATAACCATCTTGTCACTTAAAATATGAGACTTTTTACTGTGATTGTGATTACTTCCCTTTAGTCACATGGCGAGCCGTAGAAAAACGAGGGGAATCCAAAATTATGCAAATGTTGCAGAATTATGTTTAAAAAAAAACAAAAAACCAACGGTCGCATACGTATAATCTGACGGGGACAGGTCTATGGTCGTGATGGACCAAGAAAAGTAGCAAAAGAAGGAATTGCAAAGCTATTCCGAATTACATCTAGACAGGGTTTTACAAGTACATGTGTAGGGCCTACATACTACATGTATTACTATTAGTTTTAAAATCTGATTAGATCTATACAGAGAGTTTTACAGTATTAAACTCTGAGCTAGAAAACATGTGTGTGTGTGTGAGTGACTGTGTGTGTGACTATGTGTGTGATTTTGGCTAGAAAATACTGGGGATAAGCTAACAAATATTACAGATAAGCTAGAAAATACTGTGGATGATTTAGAAAATACTGTGGATGATCTAGAACATACTGTGGATGATTTAGAAAATACTGCGGATGATCTAGAACATACTGTGGATGATTTAGAAAATACTGTGGATGATCTAGAACATACTGTGGATGATTTAGAAAATACTGTGGATGATCTAGAACATACT